ATGAGCTATTAAATTAAGATAAAGTGTTGTACCCAAAATCCCATAACTAAGGATGGGAAAACCATGTTAGACCCCAGATTTTGCAGAGATTTGATGTATTTTTCACCATATAGTACTCTTTTCTCATGTAAATTATTAAATTTGCTTAATGTCAAGTACTTATTTCTTGCTAGTGTTCCTTTTGAGAAGACTGAAAGAGAAAAATTACTCTTTTTTTACTGTTTTTTGGAATTTGTGGGGTTTTTTTGGTATCAGGGATTGAACTCGGGACCTTGCACTTATGAGGCAGGCAGCAGAACCACTGAGCTAAATCCCTGGCCCACTTTTTTTTTACTGTTTTTATGAAAAACACATAATTGTTTATGTCTGTTGGCATTTCTAAAAGATTCTTGTCCTGTTATTTCATGAAATTACCAGTAAGCATTTGCTGTTTTAAAAATATTGAACTAAAATTTTGAGTGATTGGTAATATATTTGTTAAATATAAGTATAATTTTAATTACTTCATGGTCTTTAATTTTAAAATTGCATGCAAGTATGCACATTAAACTTGATGAAGTGATAATTAGCAAGTATTCAAATAAATTGATTTAATGATTCTCTAATTGATTTTTTTTTGGTACTGGGGATCGAATTTGGGTCCTAGCACTTGCGAGGCAGGCGGCGATCCACTGAGCTAAATCCCTGGCCCTCTCTAATTGATTTTTAATAAACATATTACTTTAATTTTTGCTGATAAATTGAAGAGCAAATTCATAAAAACCAAAATGATTTTCTGAAACTGAGCATGGACAATTTGCTGATCAAGCTTCACAGCATTATTCCAAAATAAAACTTTTGGCCCCATGAAATTATTTTTATGATCTCTAACTCTCTGCTCTTTTCCATTATCTTTTATCTTTGGTTCCTTTCCCTTTTTGTTTTGTAAGCAATAGCAAAACAAACTTCCCCAAATTTCCAAATTATATCACCAACTAGGTAATTATAAAATTTAAATTTTTGTTACAGTCAAATATTTTTTTACCACAAAGTTACACTGGAAATGACTCTAGCACCAAGAAATAATTTACATTTTTATAATATACTGTCAGAACACTTTTAGTGATAGTCTAGGCATCCAGAAACATCAAATGTTAATAAATTGCATTGAAAACATCAGAGTTAAATGTAAAATTTCATGTGATGAAAACAAGTAAACAATGAGATGTTGCTAAACTTATTATTTCCTGAAAAGATCTATGAATAGAGTCTAGGCTTTGTACTAAATTGAAACAATATCTTTAGCATTTCAGGTTATTCCCATAGAATGTTCTTTCCCCATGGTTCCCACTAACCCCACTAGCCATAATTCAAAACAAAATGTCTTCTGCGTATGAGCACTTATGAAAAATAATTTGAGATATGAGTTTCAAAGTCTACTTAATCCTTTGAGTCTCCTTGTCAATATTATTTATAGTAAATCTTAATCCTCCCTTATAGACAAGAAAACTATGCCACAAAGATAGTGACAGATTCTGCAAAGGTCAAGATGAAAGGTATTAAAATCTACTCTGGTTACATTGACCTAGGTCTAACCAGTAGATACAGAGGATACTATCAACTTTGAGTAATAAGTATTTTTGAAGCAGGTCCTGTTGCATTAAAATATTGATATCATTAACCTACATAAAAGCAGTGCCTGTGGAATTATCTGGAACATATTATATTCCATAGCCTCATAGTTCTTAAGTATAAGATATGTGCCTTCCATAAAGAATTTTTCCTTTAGTGAATGAAATTTCTTACAGTCACAGACATAACACTTAACTTTTCAAAACACTTTGAAAAACATCATATTTAGAATTCCCAATAGTTCACAAAGTGAAAATCATTCCTTCCTTTCACAAACATTTAGGTGTCATCTACACGTAAAGGTTTCTCCTTCACTGACTGGTAAAGATTCCTCATTTCAGGAAAGAAAACTAAACTTCAGTGAGTTGAATAACTTGTAAGAGATCTTATGATCAGTAATTCAAAAATCTTGATCTTTTGGCTGTCAAACAATACTTATTTTTCTACACCATAATGCATAACATGTTTTATACTGCAGCAGGTTGTCTCTCTCAATACATGCCATGTATATAACTCACTCTGTTAAGCTAAACAGGATGAAAATATCAAACAAGTTTTGAGTCCTATTCTATGACTCATTATTCAGGCTTCTGGGGAAGTAAGATGACTAGAAATAATTTCCCCTTACAATATATTTTTCTTCCTTACTAGGTTTTGCCTTCCTGTATAGAATAGAGTAAAATAAAAACAGATTGGCCTTCTGGAATTTGTAGCTTTTAAATGTAGAAGAAAAAGGTTAATTAACAAAAGGTCTTCTCAAATTTCTTGTTGTTTTTTGATAAATTTTAAACATTGATCAAACTCACCAACTCCAGTACAACCATGGGCATTCAGACCCAATATGATGTATGTATCTCATAAATACTTTAGAACATTCAAATGGTATTTAGATGGCCTGCACAAAAATTAACCAAGTAGTGTTCTTTCAATATTTTGTAATTTAAAGATTCAGGCTAGAAATCTCTTCCCCACTTCACACTCCACTTTTTATTTATGGAAAAAAGGCAACTGAACAGATTTCTGGATTCATTTTTAATTATCCTCTGCTCTTTTGTATTTGTTGTTTTCTTGATTGTGTAATTCCATTTCTCTTTTCCTTTTGAGTCTCAAATGTAAGCAACAGTCTACTCAACCCTATTTAACATAAGTAAGCTACTTTATCCTACACAACAAACTATTTTTCAGGGGGAGGGGATGAATTTTTAATTACTGTCTGCTATGTGTAAGACCTCTTGCATTCTATTTTTGGAACAAAACAAAATAACTATCAGGGCAAAGGGATTGCTTTAATAAATGGGGTACAGATGTCCCCAAATGAAGTGCTGATTTTTCTTGGGAGACAAGTAAAATCAAAATGAAGGCTGGTTCTCACTGGCTTTCGCACATACTCTATGTATGTATGCATATATGTATGTATGTAGGTATCTGTTTAATTATTTATTATGCAATTGCCACTTAACATTTAATTTGGCATTAAATTGATTGGGAAAACTCTATCTGAATGTCACATTTCCCCAGAGACAAAGACTGACAGGGGCTTCCAGACACTTTCATGAGTTTAGAAGGGTGAGTTAGAGTTATTTATTTCAGTCACTAAATCTCCAAAGAGATAAGGCAAAGGTAACTTACTTTGTGTGGTTTCAGCTACACACAGAGTAAGTCTGCCCCTCAACCACTGAGAAGGGAACTGCGGTTATACACCCACCGGCATGCATTCTGAAACGAATTCCCAGATTTCATTTTATGCTCCACTGACCAGGGAAGTCCATCTATGCTAATTAATTGACAACCAAAATAATAGCCTAACCACATGTTGTAACTCTCTTAAAATGTGATTAAGTTTTCCATATGGTAATTTCATTTCTGAGAGTGAAAAAAATTGGATTGTGTCAGGAACACATTATAGGAATCCAAATCAATGATAGATCCTTCTTCTCCTCAGATGATCATTTCTGACCTATCTGGGACAAAAGAGCTCCCTAGGAGCTCAGTGACATAAATGCCTCTGCTCCTTTTCTGCTAAGCAAGCAGGTTCATTGTAAGTGGTAAGTGACACTTAAGAATGATTTTTCCTCACAGTGTAATTGCTATTCTCAGCCAATGCAAAACAAGGATCCATCACCCACTCACAAGTACCACTGTAACAACCTCACAGTTGTACATGTGTGTGTGTGTATTAAAATTCAGAAAGAGGGTGAGTGTGGAAATGTGCTAGAAATATTTTATTATCTGTTGTATATGACCTATAAAATTAAAAGAAATGCCTCCAGAACTCTTGTAATTTTTGGAAGGAGCAAACTCCACAGATTTTATTATGTATATACCATCACATGTATTTACAGAACTGTAGAAGTCTGTCCTTATCAGTCAATACTCTCCACTGAACCGAATGTGCTCACTGGAATTAATCTGGTTCTTCAAATGTCAGGCATAGATTGTAAATTTGTATAACTGCTTTTACCCAGTGAACCCTTCTTATTAAAATGCTTATCAAGGTCACTGGGAAAGATTGTAATTTTCAAGCTCCAAAAGAAGTTTCCAGAAATAAGAATGAAGAGAAAACAGATTTAATTAGTATTTTAATCTCCATAGTTTATTAAGAAGCTATTGGCCCCTTTGACTTTCTGTATATCAGTGACAGATACATTTTGTAGAACTAATAAGAATGTGGTCAAAACCCAGGTCTCCTGATGAGACATGGTAAAGCTTCTCATGTTCTGCCTTCTAGTGGGCTTGGTTTGAACACGCAATCTTGAGATTTAAAAGGCTGGAGCGAGGATGCTGTGTAAAAATTTGTGTTTCTTTAGATAAAATTCTGCCGGTGTAGATATGCTTTGAGGGTCAGATGCAGAGAGGGAGCAGATATTTATGTGCTTGCAAGTGGTTTGGTGATTTATAACCATATAAAATATATGGGAAAGGGTGTTCAAGCCATCTCTTTTTCAACTTTTTGAGTCTTGCCCATGATACAACCCAGGCACAATCACTTTTAATTGCATGCATAAGACCAAGAAACACCTTCTTGCAAAATACCAGTTTATCTTAGTTTCTTAAAGGAAAACAAACAAGATATACAGATTCAAAGAGATATTAGCTAAGAAATGGGAAAAATGTCTAACTAAAAGTTCTATAATAACATGCCAACTGTATGTTTTTGTTACTATTATTGTCATATTAGAGACTTCAGAGAAGATAAAATATCTGAATATTTATTAGGCAAGAGATTTCCTAAGACCATGCTGCAGGGATAAGGATATAAAAATAAAGCAAAATTACTTGTTTTCTCCTCAATACAAAAGGAAAAATAATACTGTCAATGTTCTGCCTGTTAAACCTTGGGAAAAGTCATGAGATTTATATACAAAAGAACTAATAGTATTATCACTTACCTGACAAGTAGCAGAAACAAATCTTTTCAGTTTCTGTAAGGTAGGATTTTGAGTAGATTTCCTACTTCTTCTCACAAAGCTATTTCCAAAATAGTTGCAATCCACTCAGGAACATTCAGCCTATTTCAAGAATGTGGGCCTTGGAGTATCTCAACCCCTGCTGCAGAGCTCATGATTTCTCAGTGCGTCTAAGAACTTCCACTTCGCTCTTCTGCCTGCATTCCTCCCAGCCCCCTAAAGAAAAATTATTCTTGAAGTTGCTGCTCAGAGTTTAACTGGAGCAAGCGTACTCAGAGCCCGGTGCCCAGGTGTAGCACGATGGGGGGGGGTCAGTTTTCGCCCATCAAAGAAGGGGACAGGGAGGCAGGGGCTATTAGCAGGCACCGCCTTTTAGTTGCGAGAAGCCTGGTACTCAGCTGCCCGTGGCGACGACATCGGCAGCAAGGACAGTAGCGGCGGGGGCGGCAGCGCAGTTAGGTCCCTGAGGCTGCTGCCCAGTCCCGAGACGCTGTCCATCCCCTCCGGTGCTGAAGTCAGGGGACTGGAGCTCCGCGGCCAAACCCAAACCGCACTTTCTCCACCAGCGAATCCTGGCAGCTTCCTCGTCTTCCAGCCTGTCCTTCCTTTTCCTCCTGTGGTTTATTTTTTGGCAGGGGTTAATTGTCTCGCCAAAATAAACGCTCGCATACTTATTTGGTGGCAGCGTTTCGGGAAAGGCAGGAATCCATGGGAAATAAGATCTGAGCCTCTCCTGAGTTTTCAGTGGCCCTGAACGAGTTTCCTAACGGTAGAAATGAAAGAAAACGCACGAACACGAGCGCGCACACACGCGCACGAGAGAGAGACAGAGAGAGAGAGAGAGAGAGAGAGAGAGAGAGAGAGAGAGAGAGAGAGAGAGAGAGAGTGCATCGTGGAACATCCAGAGCTTCTTCGGAAA